GTTTCTCATACATGAGAGAAGTCCTCTCATACATGAGAGGAGTCCTCACATACATGAGAGGAGTCGTTAAGCCAAAAATGAGACAGATTCAGTAATATTTGAAGGTGGCGCAAAGTTGAACAATTTTAGTGGAAACTAAAAATATTATATAATTTTTTAATTTTTTTTGGCTTATCTGAACTTATTTCATTTTTTGTTTGGTGGTTTCATTTTATATATTTTAACCTCTAAGTGTGAGAGTAAGTACTAAGTGATGGTAGTTTTAGTTAATGTGAAATATAATAAAACAAATGTATAATGATTTTATAATAAATTAAATATAGTAATCTGAAAATTGAGATTTTAAAAAGAAAAATATTATTTGTATAGCAACCTTTTTTGCTTACTTAATTTTAATTTAAGTCAACTTTTAGTTGCTTTCACTTTTTTGCTTGCTTTCATTATTATTATCATGATTATTGATTATTGATTAAGTCAATTATAATTTACTAATGATTTATTATATTACACACAGCTGTCTCTAACTTGAATTCTTCAAAGATTCCAAGGTTAAGTATATTTTTAAAACTAAATTAAATATTTATATATTCCGTATATATTCTACATTCTGTAGTAGACTAGTAGTAGTAGTACTAGATTATTTCATCATTCCTTAAATTTTTTTTATGTTTGCAAGAAACAGAAGTTTTCTTTAACATAAATAGAACTGTTAAACTCTAGACAATGGTTGTTGGTTCATTGTTTAGGTAAAAATGGCAAAAGCTCCAACAACAAGAAGTTCTGCCAGTGTGTAGTTAATTGGAAAATCAACCATAGAGTTGGAATGCTCCAGACTTCCTTTGAAGCAACAAATACTGGCAAATTTCCTCTGCTACCACAAGAAAGAAAAGAAACCATTAGAATCAAGTGCCAACATTACCATGTTATCTGTCTTTTGTTTCTGGGAAAAGGCTAGGATACCGACTACACCAGTTAAGTATGCTGCGAAAAAATTGCTGAAGTTACATAATGTCTACACATCATTAAAAAAAAGTTGCACAAAAAATTTCGAGGGGTACAGTATGAAAGAGGAAATTTTCAAAAACAATTTACTTGAACTTCTTGATGTTGCAAGGTCATTTAGGCATTGCAGATTATGCATAATGAGGAAGACAAAGCATTTCTGGTATCCCAGCAAGAAGATCTCTCCAGTTCTAGTTTTGGAGGTATCCCAGCAAGAAAATCTCTCCAGTTCTAGTTTTGGAGGCCCAACAGGAATTTCGAAAAATTAAACAAGTAGAAAAACATTTAAAAAAAAAAAAAAGGGATGCTGAAGATGCCAGGAAAAATCAAGAAGTGATCGCTTCAACTCTACTGTAACACTTTTGAAACTGAGTTTGTATCTGATGATAAACTTTTCAGTGTTTCCCCAAGGCTACCTCACTCAGCTCTGAAAAGGGCAAGGAATAACATTCTGACTCTAGATTTGAATCTCACTCTTGACCGCATTAACATTAGTGATCAACAAGCTACTTATGTTATTGCTGCAGCTGCTCAAGCCCTTGGACATAATGTGAATAGCATTCTAGTTTCTCGCAATACTATCCGCCTTTCTAGAATGGATACACGCAAGTCCAAGGCAGTTGAGAACCAAAAATCATATTTGACCCAGGTACCACTTCCGTTGCACTGGGATGGAAAACTCCTACCAGATATTGTCCAGACAAATGTAAAGGTAGACAGTTTGCAATCCTAGTTTCTGGAGCTGGAGAAGAAAAGTTGCTTGGGATTCCCAAAATCATAAGGGAAACAGGTGAGGAGCAAGCTAGTGCCTGCCTTGAACTATTGGATAATTCGTATCTCAAAGACAAAATACATGGGCTTGTGTTATATACAACAGCCTCAAATACTGGCTTGAAATCTGGATCTTGCAAAATTATTGAAAAAACTCTCAAGAAAGACCTTGTGTGGATAGCATGTTGCCATCATGTTTTTAAAGTTACACTTTCCAGCGTATTTGCACCCACATATTTTGAGCTACCACTGGACCTGATGTAGGTTTATACAAATGATTTCAAAAAGAATGGCCAACATTTGACCAAAGCAAAAATGCTGCTGCTGATGAAACGCTCTTCAGTGGATCCATGACTGATCTCCACGATGAAATAATTGCATACTACAAAAAAGCTGTAAAAAGCCATCTCCAACGCTAAAACTATGGTGTGCTTCTACAATTGTGCCTCATCTTTCTTGGCGGTTGCACAAAAGAAGATTTGGAGATTGATTTGGAGCACCTTGAGCCATGCACCATGCCAGGTGGATGTCGAAGGGCATCTATTCCATCAAAAACTTTTTTTTCAAGAACCAAGTGACTCTCACTGTTCATGAAACAAAAGCTTTGACCAACATCATCCTGTTTGTTCTAGTCTATGGAAAATTTTGGCATGAAGCTTGCTTTGCAGAAAGAGCCCCATGTATATACTTAAGACAGTTGAGACTTTTGAATCATTATACCTGCAACAATGTTGTTAGAGATGCAGCAATGACAACCTTCAAAAGACACCTATGGTATTTTTTAGAACATTTGATTGGCTTGGCTTTTTTCGAATTCTGTGTTGATGTTCATACAAAAGCTGTTATGGTTTAGTATCTTAATCATGCCAAAAAGAAAACGTCACCAAAGAGAACTGAGGGCAAAACATTCAAGTTGGAAAACCCACTTGAATCATACGTTACAAGCTGAACATCTCATCTATATATATATGTATATATATATATATATATATATATACATATATATATATATATATATATATATATATATATATATATATATATATATATATATATATATATATATATATATACACACATATATATATATATATATATATATATATACACACATATATATATATATACACACATATATATATACACACATATATATATATATATATATATATATATATATATATATATATATATATATATATATATATATATATATATATATATATATATATATATATATATATATATATATTTCGAACATCGCATTAGCAATAAATTTGTAAAAATTTTAATAAAAATCACAACATTTTTTATTCTTGACATGTTTCGTAGTCTTACTACATTTTCAAAAGATTTAATTTACAATTAAAACTCTGGTAAATAAATTTAAAAACTGAAGACAATACAGAGAAAAAATTAATGGACAAATAAACTTGTTACAAACCAATTAAAAATTATATTACAAATTATGACAAAATGAACTTCCTAATATTAAAATATTAATAATAATAATAATAATAATAATAATAATAATAATAATAATAATAATAATAATAATAGTAATAATATAGTAAGTTAGATAGATAAATTTATAATATAATGAGATGTTTGTTTATTTAAAGAAGGATTTTCCCATTTAATATGAAGTGCTTCTTTTATTTTTAATTTGTTAATGGTAGAGGCAGTATCCAAAATCTAAAAACAATCATAATTAGTTAGTGTTTTACAATTAATGGATGAATTTAAATGTTTAAAAATATGCGATTGCTTTTCCCTCGTAAGATGCTCATCAAAAATCTTTCTTTAGTTTAAAAAAAAATAAATAATAATAATCAATTTCCACAAAAAGTTATCGACACTGAAATTAAATTATATGTTGAAAAGAAAATTAATCCACCTGTTATAAATACTGTTGATAATACTAATATAAGATATTTTAAGCTTCCACTTATTGGATTTTACTCAAATTTCATTAAAACTAAAATTGATAAAATTATTAAAAAGTATTGTAAAAATGTAATAATAAAATTTATATTCACAACCGATAAATTAAAAAACAGTTTTTGCATAAAAGATCCACTTCCTAAGATGCTTAAAACTAACGTTGTCTAAAAATTTTCTTGTGCTGGCTGTAACGCCAGTTATATTGGAAACCTCCAGACATTTGATAACAAGGATAAATGAGCATCTTACAAGTGACAAGCAATCACATATTTTTTAAACATTTAAATTCATCCATTAATTGTAAAACACTAACTAATTATGATTGTTTTCAGATTTTGACAATCCATTAACAAATTAAAAATAATAGAAGCACTTCATATTAAATGGGAAAATCCTTCTTTAAATAAACAAACATCTCATTATATTATAAATTTATCTATCTAACTTACTATATTTTTACTATTATTATTATTATTATTATTATTATTATTATTATTATTATTATTATTAATATTTTAATAATGGGAAGTTCATTTTGTCATAATTTGTAATATAATTTTTAATTGGTTTGTAACAAGTTTATTTGTCCGTTAATTTTTTCTCTGTATTTTCTTCAGTTTTTAAATTTATTTACCAGAGTTTTAATTGTAAATTAAATCTTTTGAAAATGTAGTAAGACTACGAAACATGTCAAGAATAAAAAATATTGTGATTTTTATAAATATATATATATATATATATATATATATATACATATATATATATATATATATATATATATATATATATATATATATATATATATATATATATATATATATATATATATATATATATATGTATATATATATATATATATATATATATATATATATATATGTATATATATATATATATATATATATATATATATATATATATATACATATATATATATATGTATATATATATATATATATATATATATATATATATATACATATATATATATATATATATATATATATATATATATATATATATATATATATATATATATATATATATATATATATATATATATATATATATATATATATATATATATATATACACCTAACTTAATAAATCAATACAATAAAATGTTCAATAAATCAATATAATAATTGTAGAATCTATAAAATAGAAAAACCAAAGTCACAAGATATTAATCTTAAAGTAGAGATATCAGATAGATATGAAAAAATTGTATTTTTATAAGTTAAATAAAATTAAAATAATAATAACTACAACAATAAACATACATTTGATATCACAGCAATTTTAGCAATTGCATCCAATATACTGTACCATATCCCTATATCTTGGGCTCTGTTTGCAATTGGTCGCCTTGTTTCACAGATTAACTTGTTTGAATCAATACGAATTTCAAAAATGTTGTTTGCAAGAGCAAAAAATGGTGCCAATGGAAACGCTGCCACAAAGATAGTTATAAAGCCAAACTGAATAACTAAAGAAAATAACTTTGTTTTAAATTCTACAACAAATGTTAATTTAATTTACATTATTACAGAAAAAAAGTGAAGCATATAGTTTGAATAATATAGTTAAAAGTGAATATAAGAAAAATTTAAAACTTCCAAACCCATTTCTAAGTATTCTGCTCGAAGTCCTTCATTTTCCACTAGTTCATAATCATCTTCCCATCTTGGCTTCAATACAGTTGTTTCCTTTCCTCGCTTTCTTTTTCTCCATTTATGTTTAATGAGTCTGAATAAATGAGTCTATCATTATTATAATTACTATAAAGAACTGTATATGCATATCTATTACTTTTTATATATACTGTCTATGTATATCTATTACTTTTTATATTTACTGTTTTTTTTTTAATTTATAATTTATCATTTTTATTACATAAAATAACAGTTTAAAAACATACGGTATCATGACTTCTTGAATATTTCCAATCATTTGCTTGCCTACCATAATAACAACAAGTTGTTGAGCAAGTTCAATTAGGCAACCTCCAGGACCACACTATAATAAAGAAAATTCAATTTTGATAAATTCAATCATACAAAAAAAGAACAATTTGTAGAGCGCTTTACTCATAAGCAAAAAGTTCTGAGTTCGAAACCTACATTGTGCCTGGTAGTACAGTATTTAAATTGTTCAAGGTTCGTGTTTTGGAGTTATAGAGCTAAGAGAGGGTTAGAACCACAGTTAAAGTAGCCTCCTCGACTGTATTAGCCTTTATTGTCTTGAGTAGGTGAATTAACATTAAAAAAAACTTTTCAAATGCAATAATAAAAAAAACAAACTATACTAAACAATTGAGCAAATGAAATAAAAAAGTAAAATTAAAAAACTAGTTTACCTCTTCCATGCGAAGACCAAATATTTGTGTATAGTTACCAGGGTACCCAACTAATCTATTTTTTCATTAAAAATACAATCAATCTATTAATTAAATACAGCCAATAAATAGATATTTAACCAATTGATTGATTATAAAACAACCTATTGGTTAAATTCAACCTTCCATAGATTAAATTCTTGATAAATTAACAGTTAATTTATCACTTGAATTAAATTTTGTCAATAAATTGACACTTTTATAATTTAGAAATTGAGTTTACAAATAATAAATATAAAATTTCAATTACAAAGAATTAGGACTCACTTTCCTTTAAAAAAAGCAATGTAAAAAATTGATGAGTAGAAGTTGACAAATTGGAACACAAAAACTTTGAATGTTAAATTGTCTTCATACTCTGTTTGTGTGCGATGCATTTCTTAAAATAAATTTTTATATCACAGTAAGATGGCTATCCTAAATGGATGCTAAGTAGCATCATAAAATAAAATTTATTATTTTTTAAATTATGAAACACTTATACAGTTTAAAATAAGTGAAAAACAAATTATTTTGATCTAAGAAACCCAGTGAGTGAGAACTAAAAAACCTACCCCAGTGAGTGAGAGCTAAAGCCACTTTCTCGTAAACCTGCAAAAAATTTATTTTACACATTTTAAATAAAAATAAAAAAGGTTTATTGCATTCAAAAATAGTTATTAAAAATTAAAAAAACTTCATAACTCTTTACTAAACTTGAAAATAAAGTCATAAAATAACTTAAAAAAAAAAAAAATTGTAGAGAATTTTAAACTGTATCTAAATATATAATAAATCAACTAAAATATGTTTTTAGTTTATCAAGAGACTTTATTTAGTTAAAAAATAATAAAAATAACATTCTATCCTTACATTTGATTAAAATGAAATATTCAAGTTGATGAGTAATTAAAAGAATATTTAATTAAAAAAGCAACAAATAGTAACAATTAAAAATACAATTAATAGTTGAATTTAAAATAAAAAACAATTTATAAATATAGCACAATAAAACAGTGCCTTTTACATATTGCTTTAGTATGCATGTTAGAGTTTGAATTTTATAGAATATAAAATATATTTTATAGAAATAATATTTGAACCAATCACTATTAAGACTAGTTGAAATTTTTTGAAAACTTTTTTTTTTTGAGAACTTTGTTGAAACTTTTTTGTTTAACCTTTTTATTTTTCTAAAACCTTAATTTTGAAAAAAAAAAATTTCATTTCTTGATATTTCATATAACTAAAATTAAAATTAACAATAGATGTTTATATCCAACACATGTTATAAAATATCTTGGTATTTATATAGGTTTGAACCTCTCATGGAATTATTATATAGATGTACTCCATAAAAAACTTTATCGAGCTAATGGCATGGTTTCAATAATTCGTTGTTATGTTGATAAAACTACCCTTAAGAATCTGTATTTTGCAATTTTTCAGTCTCATCTTAATTACTGTTGTCAGGTTTGGGAATAAATCGGCAACTGTGTTATTAATAAATTGTTATCAGCTCAGCACCAATCAATCCAAATAATAAATTTTCAACTCCATAATACAGAAACTTTAAACTTCAAAAAAACTTAAAATTCCTACCTTGTCAGCACTAGTTAGATTTGTTAATCTTCTTTTTGTTTTTGACTTCCTTAATAAAAATTTACCTTTCTCTATTGCAACCTTTTTCACTGAAACTCGATTTATACATTTACATTTAAGTATAAACATCAACAATGGAAAACTAAATGTACCTCCCTATAAAAACTTTGAGGGATGGTAAGTATTCAATTACACATCAGTTCATTAGTGAATGAATGTTTTGAGTGCACTGTGAATGTGTTTGAAAAATTAACATTTTAAAATAATTTATCTTTATTTCTTTATTTAAAACAAAATAAATTTAAACTAATTCTAAAATATTTTAACTTTTATCAATATTAACTTCTTTTAGTTTTCTTCTTTTTCTTCTTCTTCATACAATTTATATAGAAACTTTATTGTTTTTGTCATTATTATTGATTATTTTCATTACTGCTATTTTTATTATTACTATTATTATTATAATTATTATAAATACTATTATTTTTGCTGTTACTTTTGCTCTATTATTATTATTGTTATTTTTTAAATTAACATTATTAATACAATTATTTGGCGTTACTCCTTTGATCAGGTTTTTATGTGGCAAAAAAATTTAAAAATTTCTCCAAGGTAAAAATAATTTTTTTTTAATATTTTTTTGAATATTAAAGTTATTTAGGTATTATTAAAAGTGTCGGGTTATACATAAACTTTCATTGTCTATAAGACTGTAGCTTATGAATAAATAAAAAAAACACTCAATTGTTAATGTTAATCAACTGCTATTTTCCATTCAAATAAAAGCTATTAATGTGGAAACTAGATTTCTTTTTAAACAATTGCTTATAGGATGCAAATTTGTTTGGAGTTAAATGTCTGGTAGAGCTGCATGATAACTTTAAAGTGTTGATTTGTAATGAGTATGTGTAAACAATAATGATAATGATAAGGTAAATTTAAATTCAACTAAATGGCAATATCTTATTATATATTTTTAAAAATATTTTTCTTTTGTAAATCCAGAAAATCCAGGGCCAGGGAATCCATGAAAAAAACCTTGAATAATTAATCTAGATAATTAACTTTTGATTCTTAGTTTAGATTAATATTTTACCATTTAAGTTGTAACTATGGTGACAAGTTGTTAATATAGAAGTAATTTATGGTTGTGTAAAATGTAGTATGCATATAAATCAAAAATAATGTATATTAATATAAATCAAAAATAATTAGCTTTAAGCATGGTTTTCAAATACAAATCAAAAATAATTAACTTTAAGCATGATTCTTACTAACAAAATACTATAAAATGGTATAAAACAATGCCTACTACAAACTCAATAAATTAAAATAAAAAGTATAAATAAACTAAAATTGTTTTTTAAGAAATTATTACCATTGATAAGATCAAGATGCATATAAGATTGCATACAGCACCTGAAATATTTGTAATTTGTAATGCTCTTGCTGACGTAAACTCATTTAGTGCTAGAGGTCTGTAAACTAACAGCTTGTAAACAATAATGCCTACCATAAATATCCAAACTAATGACACCTATTAAATTTTTTTTTTTTACAATGAATGTTAAGTAAAACTAACATTGATCCTAAAAGTTATTCAAAGCAGTAAAACCTGTGAGATATATATAAAAGAAGAAAAAAAGAAAAGAACTATGTAAAAAAATTTCAGACATATTAGATATTAAAATTTAAACATATAAAAATTAAGAAACCATTGTTAAAACTATCATAATTCCAGAATAGATTCGGGGTACACGCTGTTCAGGGGGAAAATATGGTTCAAGAATCCCAGTGATAGGGTTTTTTTCTATACTTGGTGCAAGTGCAACATATGAAGGGCGGGGCTTTTCTACTTCAGATTCATAATCTAAGCAATCCCAATAATATGCTAAAGTTATCTCCTTTCGTTTCCAATACTCAAGAAAGAACACAGCTAAAAAAAAAAAATTGAGCAGCATACAAACATCTTTTATATATTTGGTTGAAAAAATATGCCATAAACATAAAAAAAGTTAAAAAAAAATAACTTAAACATAAAAAAAATTAAAAAAAAAAGAAGCTAATAATTAAAAAACAAAATAAATATGTTAAACTTAGATAAAAATAAAACATTTTTTACTGTATTTAACACTATTTAATTTTTAACATTAGATTTATAACTGTTTTAATTAGATCATGTCAGATAAGCCAAAGTACTCCATTATCAAAGTTGTACTCCATTATCGAAGTACCTTATTATCAAAGTTGGTCTAGGGGTTAGGGCAGGTTGACCCACATACAACTTGTAGCTGTAAGATAAAATTGCATCCAGTTTTGAGTGTATAAATTAAAGTGTTAAGTATGTAAAGTAGGTGTATTGAGTATAAAGTACTAAATTTAAATATGTAAGATTAAATAATATGTAAATTTGATTAATATGTAAATGAGTACATAACACTTAAATTAGCACAGATGCAAATATAAATATTATGTAAATTTATGTTATATTTAAACTTGGATATATGCAAATTTAACAAATATGGATTTCAAGTGCTATACTGAAATTTTTATTGTTTACTTAAGATTGTTAAGTTGATATTTTATGCTTACTAATTAGTTACTAATCAAGCTTCATGTATAATAATATGATAATAAATACCTAATACAGGATAGGTGTGATAAACTTGACAGGGGTAATTAACGCTCGTATAAATTTTTTAGATTTACTATTGCTGGTATTTAATTTGTAATATAATGTTGCTGACTGCAAAACAAAACTGACTATTTTTGCTGTATTGAGGAAAAGACATTTAATGTTTTAAATTTATCACTGTGTTTTATTTTGATTAAACTTAATTGTTTCAGTTTGTTTATAACACATTTTCTTATATTATTATTTTTTTTAATTAAAAAAAATAAAGTTTATTCATATTATTAAGGCAAATGAACTTTAGATCTTAAATAAAAAAAATTCTTCAGATTAAATATCTAAAGTCAATACATTTTATGTAAACATTTTTATTTTAATATTTTATCAAGTTAGTTAATTTGTGCTAATTATAGACAAAAACTATATATATATATATATATATATATATATATATATATATATATATATATATATATATATATATATATATATATATATATATATGTATATATATATATATATATATATATATATATATATATATATATATATATATATATATGTATACACAGCGCCGGCCTTAGCTTTTTTGACGGTTGGGCAAAACTTGTGAACGCGCCCCTAGGTATATATGGGTATGTTGTTACCATTAACAACAAGACCAATGCTCTAAAATGATGAACCAAAGTGCTAAAGGGAATATATAGTTTAATGCAAAGAGATCCATATTGTGCATCAAGTTTCTTATTTAATTAATTTTTTATTAAAATTATAAACTTAGACTTTTCATGATATGGGTTTATAGAAATGAGTGACTAAATAAATAGACAACGCAACGCTGCTTTAAAAATAACAAATGTTTTTATTAAACATATAATAAATCCTCTAACTATATAAACAAGAGTTATTAAATTTTAAAATCTAACTTTTCTAGCTTTTTTGTCCGCGAAATCTCTTATCAAACTAGAAAAATCTAAATTTTCAGTTATATCTTGCTCGATTGATAACATAGATAGAGAATTAAGTTGATCTTGCAACATGGTATTTCTTAAATATGTTTTGATTAACTTCAGTTTAGAAAAACTACGTTCTCCACTAGCAACAGTAACAGGTATTGTAAGAAGAATGCGCAGAACAATCCATGTATTTGAATATAACTCTTGTAGACAATGTTTTTTAATAAGATTCAGTACAAAAAGTGGTGTCATCTCTTTTGTATTTATTTCATTTTCAACATTGCTTAATTTATCTTTTTTAAAAAACTGCACACTTATTAGTTCGTCGCATAGCAAAGCACCATCGATTTCTGTATTTACAGTTAATTTTTCTTGTAATTGTTTACACAATTTTAAAAGTTCATTCTTGATGGGCAAATTATCCAAATTAAATAAAAAACTCCATATATTTACATATTCATTAAGTTGTTCAAATCTTTCATTTATTGATGACAGACATGTATCTAATAAAGGGTTAAAAAATGTCACTTCAAGTTTCTTCTCGGGACTTTGAATTGGTTTGTCAAAAGCATTTTCATCATAATGACGTTTCACTCATCGCACTCTTTTAAGCGGCTTAAATATTACATCGATGTTCAACTCTTCAGCTAACTCTTTGGCATCAACCGTTGCTTGTTTAAAGCCAAACGTTCGGTAATTTTCCAAAAATGTGATGCATTTTTTCAACATTTCAGCGCACTGTACTAAATCCATGTCTTTGGCTTGCATTGCTTTACTAACAACGTTTATTTGGAATAGTACATTGTACCATGTAATTAAAGAAACTAAAAAACTATAGTCTTTTAATTGTTCTGCTAATGTTTGCGCTTTGTGTGCAATATCGGGAGTTTTGGTTTCAGTTTCATATATAGTAATTAAAGCATCATGTACGCTGCTTATTTGGTATCGGATGGCTTTGAGGCTCTCAATTTTGGCTTCCCAACGAGTCTCGCATAATCGTTTAAGAGTGAAGTTTGTTGTATGACTAAGTAAAACATTCCAGCGTGAAGTTGATGCAGAAAATAATAAGAATAATCTTTGTATTATGCCAAAAACGTTAATGGAATTTAGTGAAGACTGCGCTGCGTCACAAATAACCAAATTGAGAGAATGACTTCCACATGGAAGGTAAAAAGTCAAAGGATTCAAATCTAATATTTGCATTTGTAGACCTATTTTTTTACCTTTCGTATTTGAACCGTTATCGTAACCTTGCCCTCGACAAAAGCTTATTCGGTTGTAATAAGCATTTGAAAAATGTCGTCTTCTATTATCGCGTGGATATGTGTCCAAATTCACTTGTATTGCACCTATATTAATTATATAATCAACAAATTGAATGTTGCGATGAATTGGCCACAAACCACAGTCTGAGTAATCGATTGCTGTTTCTTTGGTGCGATCATTTACATCACCATCTTGGCCATCATCATTTTCGTTATCGATATCTTTTTCATCGTAGTGAACATTTCCAACTGACACTATTCCGTCTTCTTCATTGCTGGTTGATGTATCACTAAGTACATGCGCAACATTTTCTCCTTCCTTTATTTTATTACAATCACTATTTTCCGATGTAAAAAAATTTTCAAGTTTTTTATAATTTTTCTTCAAATTATCAACTTTTTCTGCTTTACGTTTTCTGTATTGAGCACCAGATGCTTTCTTATTATTATGAAATTTAAAAACATTTTTTTCTTTATTATGAGAACTCTCCATTGATTGCTGCTGACAGTTTCTATTTGTCTAAAATTTTAAAATAAAAAATCACTCGCAAGCTAATAATTCATAAACAATTTCATTATTTATACTTACCTGCTTTTTATTACCGCAAAATTTGAAAACTTGACAAAAACTGAATTTGAATCACAAATACAACTTTAAATTTCTTCTACAAATTAATAAATGATGCGCTCGCAACTCGTACCGAAAATAATGTTTAAAATATAAACTTTAAATAAATGGAACACAAAATAATTGGCGCCGAGAAAATTACAATTAAAAAAATGATTTTAAGTAACAAAATATATGCTATAATTGAAACACTTTTAATCAAATCATAAATTTTGCATAAACAATTTTTAACAGTGTAATAATACAATAAATAAATTATTTAAAGAAATTATTTTTATAAAAAAAAAAAACATTAGAAAAAATAACAAAAAATCGAAAATCGAAATCGAAAAAATTTAGGTTGGGGATTGTCCATAAACTACGCAAACTGTGCGAGGGAAAACTTTTGATCTTTTTTTGTTTTGTTTTTTGTGAAACTTTGCGTTACGTAATTTATGGACGATCCCTTGACTTATTTTTTCTATTTATTATATTGTTAAAGTTTGCATACAACGTTTGGGGCCCCAGTTTCCTGGCGCCCAACCTCGCCACCCCTAAGGCCGGCACTGTATATACATATATATATATATATATATGTATATATATATATATATATATATATATATATATATATAATATATATATACATATATATATATATATATACTTGATTTGCAGACAAAGCAGAGGCTAGAAGAAGTTTCCTTCCTGCTATTAATGTAACTTTACATCTGTTAAATCTATAATAATATTTATCTGTTACATAGTTAAAAATGCCATGGTAAGTTACTATATGTGTGTTTGTGTTCTGTTTGTAACTCTAATGCTTACAGAAGTATTTCTTTTTAAATATTTTAGATCAATATCAAGTTCGGGATCATTAATGATAACCTTTTTACTGATAACATGTACAACTTTCTAAATGCGTCTTGGTTAAGTAAAGGCTCAGAAAACTATACCCCAGGTAAATCTTTATCCCAAAATTAAAAAACTTTAAAAATTTACTTGTTTGTCTTATTAATGACTAAGTAAAACTCACTTGTGAAAAACTTTTCAACTTTTTAAACTATTTTAGATATTCTTAACCCTTTACCAATTTTTATGACACTATTTTATTAGTGAATTACTTTTATCAATTTGCTACTAAATTACTTTTACCAATGTAAATTGTATCAATCCCATAACAAAATCATTACAAAATCAATACAAAATAATTACAAAATCAATTTCAGAAGTACAATGGTTAAATTATAAACAGAAATTGTACCAATGTAAATTGATTTTTAAGTAAAAACTTACCCCAGAAAGAAACAAATATAGCAAAGAACACAGTTGCTGCATTATCAAACAGATAAGATAGCTAAAATACATTAGAAAAAAAATAATTTTATATAAAAAAATTAATGTGACACATTTGTGTGTAAAAAATATAATAATAAATCAAGTGATGATAAATAGTGTGTTGACAAAATATTTTACTTTTACAAAATAATATTTTGTGCAAGTAAATTACATAATTATGATAAAAATTATTTACATATGATGGAGACTGAGAACATTTCAAATAAGAAAGAAAGTATGTTCTAATTTAGTCTTAATCTTTCTGGTCTGAGGGGTCTCTTAATATTAGGAAAAACGTTGTTAGTATTTTTCAGAAATAAGAAAAAATAATTTTTCAGTTAATAATTTAAACTATTAAATAAATTAATGAATGCATGATAAAAATAATCTTGAACAAAGAATATGTTTAAAATAATTGATTCATTTGATGATTAAATTGGATTGATGATGATGTTAAGAAATAAACAAAGAAATAAGTATACAAAGAGGGAGGTATATGCATTAAACAGAGAAGAATTTAAGAAGAAAAAAATGTATCTACTGGAGGATGCTGTTACATATGAGCATCTAACAAATAGCCTTAGTGGTTTAGTGATCAATGAAAATTGCGGATCTACTGAAGGCGCGTTATATAATAAACAAATCTTGCAAGATAAATGTTTAGATAGTTTGACTACCTAAAACCCATTGAAACCTGCAGGATGGTATTATTTTATGGCTTTCCAAAAGTTTATAAAACCAATGCATCTATGAAACTAAATATTTTCAATGGAAAAGCTCTTCAAATATGCAGTAAAATATTATTTCTAACAGAGTCATAATCACAATTCCAATTGACACCCAATTTTGTCCATGTCTTATTTAACAATTGTTATTCAAAACATTAAATGGCATTTTTAAATTTTATGATCAACACTTCCACTAGAAGTATGAAATGACTATGGAGTCAAGAATAGCTTAACTTCCAATTTTCCAAAAAAAAAAGTTCTACTTTTATTAATTTTAAATTAATTTTTTTTATCTTTTTTATCTTTTTTAAATTGCTCATGTTTACTTTTGTGTGGCATAGTTTTGCTACATGTTGATAAATTGTTTTTTACTTTTTTTGTACTAACTTTAACTGACTATTAAAAGTACACCTTAAATTTTTAAATTACACAAACTACAAAACAAGGGGTAATTTAGTTTTTATTATAAAACATTTTTAAAATACAAAGCTTAAAAACTACGAATAATACCATTTACATAATAATTTCAAAAAGAAAAATTTGAAGTTTACAATACTTTAAAGATTTAGCTTTTAAACTTGTGCAATTGAAGGACTCGACATAGTACAATAGAATGACTCGACATAGTACAATAGAAGGACTCGACATGGTACAATAGAAGGACTAGAGATAGTACAATAGAAGGACTAGAGATAGTATGATAGAAGGAATAGAAATAGTACAAGCATTTTAGAATGCAAACACAATACAAGGTTTATTTTCAAAAGCACTTTGTACATGACTTCTTAGATCTCACAATTACAAAAGAAGTTGTACAGGAGACCAACAGACACCAATAACCTTCTAAATTTTGAATTGAATCATACTAGAAATCAAGAACTAGGTACCATATTTAACATCACAATATGTTTAGGTGAAAAGCTAAGAACATCTTTGCTGCAGATCTGATAAATCTCATACAATTACCTGAAACATAGAAAGAAACGAACAACTTCTATTAACATTCAACTCCACAATCAAGAAAAACATTTTAAAATAAAAGAAATTTATTTTTTTAAACTTTAATTCTAAATTTATTTTTAAACTACTTTATTTTCAGCAACTCAGGAACTTCTTGGATCAGACTACTACTTTTCCTAGAAACTATAGACACCATATATTAAACTATACATAATAATACTGACTTTGCCTAGAAACCATAGAAACCATTTATTAAATTGTACATAATAATACTGACTTCACCTAGAAATCATATATTAAACCTTAAAAAATTGCTTTTGTTGAGTTTCCTGATTTTTATTTATAAATAAATTAAGTTGCACAAACAACAGTACTAAAGTACAAGTTAAATACCTTGGCTAACATACAACTATTTTTTAAATCCCAATATTTACAACCAATGTACTCATCACAAAGTGGACACATTTTGTATGTCCAGTTTGCATGCTCGCAAATATCTAAACTGCAAATACATTATATATATATATATATATATATATATATATATATATATATATATATATATATATATATATATATATATATATATATATATATATATATATATATATATATATATATATATTAACTTTAATAACATAAATATAAAAAAATTATTAATAAATTATTATTTATAAAGTTATGATTCTTGATTAAACTTGTTTAGAAACTGAATAAATAACAAATTTTATTTTTTTTAAAAAATATAAATATTATTTTATTAAATATTACTTTAACATAGTAATATTATAATAATAATACTAAATAATTCTTAACACTTTGTTTTCCAAATTTTTTCACAATAAACTTTTTTAAATAATAAGTTTCAAAAACTGAATCTTAAATGTTTGAAAAAAAAATTCATACGCGTCTCTATTGTCTGAAGAATTAATAGTAACATAGCCATATACAAAAACTAATAAACCAACAAGGGAGGGCAACAAAAGCCAAGCAGTGTATTGACCTAAAATAAATATGAGACTAGCAAGATGCATTCCATTAAATTTTTTTAGAATTATAAAAAAAAAAAAAAGAAACTTACCCAGCCATGCAAAATACAAACTAATTTTTTCACCAAAATAACTTCTAAAAATAAAAGTAAAAAATTAACATATAATAAAAAATATTGAAACATTAAATCATCTTAACTTTTAATTTTTTGAAACTTGCAAAACATAACTTCTAATATAACAGAATTTTATTTCTAAATAACACAAACAAGGCAGCTTTAAAATAGCAAAATAAAATTTTTACCTAATATGGTCTAGAGGTTGGTATTTTAGCCATTTACCCCAAGTTCCCCAGTACATTTTAAGTATCTATGAATGGATTAAACACTTTTTATATAAAAAATTTCTTTGTATGAAAAATAAAGAAAAATAAAAATAAAAAAAAACTTATGATACTTTACCTGTCTTTGATTTAACTGTTGTTCATCTTCAGGACTATCTGGGCCCTCTTGTCGAGGTTGTATATGGGTTCCCTATAATATTAAACCAAATTAAGAAAAGTTCTTACTATTACATGATGTAACAGAAGAAAGGATATTTTTTATAAAATTACTGCTTAAAAAAAAAAGCAAAAACAGCATGATGCAATAAAAAAAAGAAGACTTCATATAAATATTTGTCAAAAATAAAATTTAAAAATTAGAATATCAAACACACATTCACAAATTTTTAACATAAAATTAACCCTAACACCTATTAAACTGCATTAAATAATTAAAAAAAAAAAACTTATTTCTTTGCCTGCACTTAGATGTAACCTTGCACTGTTTATCCATCAAGTTAGCACTTTTCAACAAATTTGTCATGTAAGTTTAAACTTCTTAATTACTTTTCACAATCAGGTTTAAACCTGCATCTTCTAATTTCCACATCTTCTTTGTGTTAAATTAAAGTGCTCTTATCAAGAAAGTTTTTTAATTGCAATACTATTCTTGTTTAAAATATAACAATTGGCAATAAACAATTGGCAATAAATAATTGGCAATAAACAATTGATAATAAGCCATTTGAAACACATGTTTTATATTTAGCATACAGCTGTAACTAATTTTTACAGAACTTTGTTTAAAAATTAATAGAACTTATGAATAATTGAAAAGTGTTTGTATATTAAGGCTAAGAAACATAACTAAGTGAATATTTCAACCTGTATGTTTCCATTCAAGTTGAAGTATTCACTAGATGAATTCCCATATGCAAGTTCAAAAGAGTCTAGCAGTTGATATAGAATATTGTGAGTGAAGTTAATAAACCACAATGAATATAATTGATTAAACTTCAGGTTTGCAGATAAAGGTTTGCTGAGAAGTAAACTAAAGAAGAAGCTGATCCCTAAAATTTAAATTAATATATCAATATTATACAACTTTCAAGTTGCAGCGAATTAAAATTCAAAAATCTTGTGATGGTGATGTTAAGCAATAATGTTGTGATAGTAATGTTGTGCAATGATTGGTGTATAGATTAAAAGATAGGAAGATTTAGCAAAATGTTTTCTTGAAATTGTCACAATGACTGTAAAAGCGTTACTATATATTTTTCAGACAGTATGTTAAAAAGAGAGATGAAGTTTAAAACATCAAACACAAGTTTTTATTAAAAAAGCATAGAAAAGAAATAAAAAAACTTTAAGTAATAATAATGAAATAATGAAAAAACTTTTTGAGACCATCATACAAAGAAAATAATGATACATAAAAATAATGACACACAATAATGAAAATAATGAGCAAAAAACTTTGTCACCTTAGCAACAAAATTCACAAAATTTTGATTTCTATGCTATATAATATAATATCTATGGTTAACAAAAAGTAACTAAAATTCCACAAAATAAGATAGGATAAAATAGGATTATTGAGTGCATCTTGTTAAAATGAGTCCATCTCTTTTTAAGCTAAAAAGAAAATGATATCTAATTATAGAAAATAATGAAGTTTGCAGAGTGTAAATCTTTAGTTTCAAATCAGTTCTTAATACAAGTATTGACTAGGTTAGTCATTACAACTAGTGGCCACATTTAAAGAATTAGGATGCACTAGTTATAATGACCAACAAGAATTAGGATGCAGTATTTTCTTTCTTCTATGACTATTTTCAATAACCATGAATAAAAAATAAACATAAAAAAGGGAAAAAAGCAGGCTACCATTCTCAGCTTCTTCATCACTATTTAATAATAAATATTGAATATTTGAAATACTTGAAATTTCAACACATTAATACTTTTTATTAAATAATATTCTAATAAGATTTTTTCTTGTTTATATAAAACAGTTTTTTTATAACATTAACTTTGTTATTGTTATAAAAGTTTTTTTTATATCATTAACTAATGTGTTACTTTTGTTGAACTTCAACTTTTGTTATTGATTAATTATCATCTAATAATAACCAATCATAGATGATTAATTATCATCTAATAATAACCAATCATAGATGATTAATTATCATCTAATAATAACCAATCATAGATGATTAATTATCATCTAATAATAACCAATCATAGATGATTAATTATCATCTAATAATAACCAATCATAGATGATTAATTATCATCTAATAATAACCAATCATAGATGATTAATTATCATCTAATAATAACCAATCATAGATGATTAATTATCATCTAATAATAACCAATCATAGATGATTAATTATCATCTAATAATAACCAATCATAGAATAATAATGATGAAGATAAAAGTCACCATTAACATCATATTTTGAACCTTACCACATGAAGTGGGTATGCTGCATCAAATATTTCTTCTGTAATTAATCTTTCAATGCCTAAAAACATTTAAAAGATAAACTTCAATATAAAAGAAATATTACTAAAAAAGTTTTAAAACAAGTAGTACTAAAAAAGATTTAAAACAAAGAGCAATTCAGTGTGATTTTATCTACAATCAAAAGAGCCAATAATAGCTTTTAAACAATATTTTTTGTAAGAATCACACAGCCAGTGAAAGTGACCTCCTCGAAATTGTTTACATTTTTTACATAATGAACAGAAAAAACCTGCATGGGATAAAAATTTCTTTCAAAAATGTTTTGAATCTGAGTTCAAATTTTTCACTTGGAATCTGTGTTTGAAACTTTCACTTGGATTCTGGGTTTGAATCTTTGAATTATTATTTTTTGAATCCTTGTTTTTGGGAAGAAAAAAAAAAAAAGTTGTATGACACTGCACACTTGACAAAATACAACAGATATAAACTCATTTTTTTAAATTTTTCTAACTTTCAGACAACAGGTTGAACATTTTTATCAAATTCAAAACAAACAAACAAAAAAAGATATAGTGTTCTTACAAAATAATTTTCACAAAAATATGTTAAAACAGCAATATATCATTGTTCTAACATAATATAAACACAAACTTATGTGTTATATTAAACTTACAAAAATACTTCCAAAATTTAGTCAGGCTAACATATTCTATAAAAACTGTTGCAGTGAAAGACACATAAAATAAATTGATTCAGGTTTATTAAGGTCTTGCATAGTATAAAATTGCTCAAGCCAAAAAAGCTTACCTGTATGAAATTATGTCATTGCTTCAGCAATGAATGGCTGTCAAATGTTACAAAAATGGGTGCTAAGTTTTAATTCTAAGCCTCTTATATCTGCTCTTGAGGAAGGACTGCTTTGAAGGATTTAGAATTAGAGATTTTTTTTTAGATGGAAAAAAATTTAATCCAACACAGAGACATCAGAAGTAGTATGTGTCAGTTGTGCAAAGCTATTACAACAATCAAAGAAAAAGCCATTCAAAATAATAAGTTCAAAAATCTGCTAATACTGATTTTATATGTGATTTGGAAATTGTTGTAAAAAATTCAATTAAATAAAACATCTAATAAAAAAATTACAACAGAAAAAGATAACGATCAAAGCTTTCAAGTAATTAAAAAATAAAACTGCTTTCTGGCTTAAAAAATTTTTTTCAAAAAAAATCTTTTAGTTTAATATAGAGATAAGGTTTAAGAGAGTATTTTGGAAAGATTGGAATATGTTTACACGTACATTCTTCATAAAAAGGAATATTCTTATATTCTTCATTAAAAAAGAATGAAATGAAATACATGTATATATTTAAAAAAAAATGGAATGAGTGTACATGAGTTACAGTAAAGTTACAGTTTAAGAACTTTGCTGAATGAAAAGTCGTACCAGATTAAGTTTTGGTTGATCAAATAAGCAATGATTCCTTGAGCAGTTAAAATGGTGTAAAAATTTGTAGAAGTAAGAAAAATCTTACGAAAATAGGCTTGACAGCTTAAGTTTGGTAGCTAGAGCAGATCCAACAAAAATTTACAATACAGTTTTGATTCTTGTAAAAGAGGTAATTAGAGAACATGTATAGTGAAGTACTTAGTGAGAGTATTGCCATTATTAGCAGTAAAAAGCTAAATTTTGTTTTTAAATAAATTAGCAACTAAAAGAAGCCACTAAAAAGAAGCCACTAAAAAACTGAAAATGTTATGAAAAATTCAAAATCAGCCGCTAAGTGATCTAAAGTGATCAAAAGCTGCTAAGTGATCTAAGTGATCAAAAAGTTATGACTTTTAAAAAAAAGAATCTAGATAGACTTTGCTGATAACACAAATATATACATATTTGTGTCATCAGCAAAGTCTGTATCTACCTAATTTACAATTGAACCTATTTGTTAAAATGGTTAACAAGTCTGCAATAGAACAGGAGGATCATAGTTGATTTTGATTATCAGCAAACCAGCTGGTAAGATTAGTCAAGATGAGATTTTAGAAGTTTTTTAAATATATAAAGACTTTTTTAATTGATTTTTTAAGGTTGATTGGGTGATAGTTAGGGGTTAGGGCAATCTTCAGAACTTATAAAATCTGGAACAACAGATGCTACATTTCAGCAGGAAAATTTAATTGTAAAAATAATTTAGATAGTAATGAAGAGAGTTCTAGAAGATACTTTTGTAATTAATTGTAAAAATAATTTAGATAGTAATGAAGAGAGTTCTAGAAGACACTTTGTAAGGCCAGAATGTTGTCCAAATGTTGTGATCAGAATGTTGTCAGAAAGCTGTAGAAGGTTTCAAGTATATAACTTTAGCAATCGAAGCAGAAGAGATTGGGATATCTAAGAAAATTTTTTAAATTAAATTCCCCTCCACAAAGCTGCAGATGGGGCTATAGTTAAGGAGGCTGTTTTTTAACTATGATATTTATACTATTTGCAACTCTCTCAACCTTAAACTTTAAAACACAGAAGAGAATAAATCCAGAGACATAGAGGTTGGAAGTTTAAATTCAAAGGTGGATTGAAACTTCCAACCTCTTGATTGTGAGCCGAGTGTTCTACCACTGATTTACTACTTAACTGTTTTCTTTAAACAAAAAAAGTTTATTAAATTCAAGAGATGAATTAGAGAAAGAGTTATTTACAAATAGTTCTCTTTTACCCTAGAGAAACATAAGTTCAAACCTATGTATGAGAGATGGAGTATTAAACTTGGCTTTGTAAAAGACATTTCAAAAGTTTTAAGAACTTAACTTCTGAAATAAAACAGGAAATTTAAGCTTCCGTGATGTAATGATAAGTATTTTTATTAAGAAATTATAATTAGCCAATAGCCCTGAGCAGATATTTCAAGCCCAAGTTACCCTTTTACAGCTTAAAAAAATCAGTCCAACAAGCCTTGATTACTCAAGACCTTGATTACATGTCACCAGTGTGTTAATTATAATCCTTAATTGATATGACCTAAGAAGAACACATGCTAGAACAGATGAGCTAGAAGTATACATGCTGTTTAGTCTTTATATGGTTTCAAAATCACTTACATGATTAAATAGAGTTTGTAGCTTGCACCTTCAGAAAATGAACGTTATTTCACAATTAAATATGCAAATTTTTTCATTCTCTGTCCATGTTTCTGTCAAAGACAATCTACAAATTTGCATGAATATTTTTGTATCACAAGGATATGCAATAGCAATTCATTGAAAGAAAGGAAAAAATGCTGTTGTATAGATACTTTATTCTAATATTGAAGTAAAATCAGGTATAAAAAAGTCTTAAGTCTTGATTTGTCTGATCAATGTTAATAGTCAATAGATAAGAGTTTATTTTTAAGTTAGGCATTATTTCTATTAGACAAAACTTGATAAAATTTTTGACTTTAATTAACTGACTTACCTAAAAAACACAGTGTTTTTATTTTTTTTAAAGTTATTCATAATGTTTATAATAAAAAAATTTTCTTCAACTTTAATATAATTTAAAAAGTTTAAACAAAAGTAATAAAATTTTTATTTTGTAAAGTTTGATCTATATATAAAAAAACAACAACAAAGTTAACAAAAACATATTAAGAATTGGTAAAAGCATACAAAAATAACATGTTTTTTTGCAATTTTCTCTCTAAATATTTTATTTTTTTACTTTATTCACCTCCCCATATCCAAGAATCTAACACAGTTAAGGAGACTACTTTCAAAACATAAATTGTTGCTTCAACTATCTCTAAGCCCTATATTTCCAAAACATAAACAATGCCACTGTAGAGAAACAAGTTGAATATGCTACTAGGAATGTAGTGGTAATTAGACAGGTACTAATAAAAAAATAATATAAAAATATTAACCAATTTCTCCTTTATGTCTGTTACCATATGGTGTACTTTCAAGTATTTCATAGCAAATGTAAGTTCGCTCTGTATCTGTAAAGAATGTGTTTGGATTTTCGCTTCCTATAAACCTGTTACATTTAAAATCCTGTTAGCTATTAAAAATACACAAATAAATTAATAACAATACTCAAAATAAAAATGAAAACAAAACTTACAAATGAAATTTATCCGCTTGGAAGGAAGCAGTAAAATAATCTGGAGGGGGAAAAGGAACTTTTTCATAAAATGGATTGGGTAAACTAAACCTTGCTAGCGTACGTTCAGACCAATTAATCTTTTTTATTTGACGCAGCTAAACATAAAGTTATAACATATTTAACAGAAAAAACTTGAATAAAATTTAAATAATAAACTAACCGCCAATGGAGCTTTAAATGATAGTTCCTCTGCATAATATTTCAAAACTTCAAAAGGACAATGACATTTGATAAAGTGCAAAATGTTCTCTTTATCGTCACACTTTTCCTATATATAAATATAAAAATATATAATCATATATATATATATATATATATATATATATATATATATATATATATATATATATATATATATATATATATATATATATATATATATATGTATATATATATATATATATATATATATATATATATATATATATATATATATATATATATATATTTGTGTGTGTGAGTGTGTATTAAAGAAAAATGTCTGCCTCTACCCCCCAAATTGTATTTTGTTTAATAAAATACTGGTTTTTTAAAATTAACTCATAAAAACTAGTATCAATAAAAATTATACTAATTAAACAAAAAAATAACTATTAATAAACGATAATAATTGTTAGAACATGAAGACTTCAAAATAAAACGAAAATTTCACATGACTAAAAGTTCTCAAGGAATCTATATCTTTACAATGCATTATGACACCCACAGTGCTCCAAAATATCATCATCGAAAGTTTAAATGAAATTTGTTTTATAGAATGAGAGCAAAACAAGACACTTTAATGCTCATTTTGGTAAACCAAATTATATAAAGAAGTGCTTAAGTTACATTATAACTTCTAAAAAGAAAACAAAACATCTTTTAATGTATGCATAACCCTATGAGTGATATAATTATATGACTTATATTTTAAATTGCAGTGATTTAGTTTTTAAAGGTCATTTATTGACATAGCTAACTTTAAATTTTTGACCCTTATGCAGAGCAAAATGAGACTGATTTTCAAGAATTAATTAAAAAAAACAAGACAGATCATTTTTATAATAAAATATATTCTATAACTTCTAAAAAATTATTAATAAATGATATCAAATATTTAAATCAAACACAGACCAGGGTGACAGATCCAGGGGGTGTGCATCCCCCTCCCCTCTAGAATCTGAAAGTCCTCAAATATCTTAGAAATGAAAGACCTTTTTTATTGTGATACAAAATACAAAAATTCTTCAACATACTCCCCACCAAAAATTCCTGGATCCATCACTGACACAGACACGAGTCACATAGATCGGATACTGGTTTACCAGTATTTTAAAATGAATAATAGTCTGAATGAGCCCAATTTGTACATTTCAAATATTGTTGTCACTCCACCTTTTTCACGGCTCATTACAGGAAAATAATATTTTTCTTTTTCTATTAAAATTATATCATTTTTATATATAGTTATAAAGTCTGATATTTAACCAGTTAAAAATCTAAGTGAAAATGTAGGTGTCCTAAAATATTCACTTATAAATCATATCATAACTATGTCTTAAATTTACATACCTAAAGACAACTCATAAAATATCACTAATTCACAAAACATTAAATTGATTTTTTATATGTAGCCTACTGATAAATTTTATGTATCATTTGAAAATACTTTCTTAAACAATTCAATTCATGCCTTGTTGTGTATTAATAGAGCCTAAACTTCTTTAATTTTTCTGATGTAAAGCTTTATTTCCTTTAAATGTTTTTGTAAAAACAATTATCAATAACATGCTTTGCACAAAAAAATTGCCCTCTTTCAAAGTTCTCAGCCACCTTAAACTTCTTAAAAATGTTAAACAGCATTTATATTGTATCAAGTATAAAAGTTAACCACAATAATGCATAACTTAAAAGTAAAATTAAAAAACTTGGTTAGGATAAAAACAGCAAAATTAAAACAGCAAAAAAACAGCAAAAAAAAACTTTTGCAAGTTTTTCAAAGTATTATATTATATTCTGCATCCCTGCATATATTAACCCCCTCCCCCCCAAAACAAAAAAAACAAAACAAAAACTTAAACAAAACAAAAAACAAAAAAAATAGTATGTGTAAAGAAGCGGAAAATTTAGAAAAGGAACGAAGTTTAAAGTAAAATAAATTGTAAAATAATAAAAAATAAATAAAAGTTACAATATGTTATAAAATATAACAACATTAAAAAGATAGCATGAAGGGTAATTGTTTACTAATTTAAAAAAATAATAATACTCCATTTCAAATGGAGTATTTTTTTCAATCCTCCATATCATATGGGGTATATGCTCCACATACTCCATATCATTTGGAGTATTTGCAAACATGCGAGAATACGGAGTCCTAATAAGGACTCCAAAAATGTAAAGAGGCTGATGACTACTTTTGGGAAGAAATTAGGACTTTTAGGCTAGATAATCAATCAATTTCTAAATGTTATGTCATTTATAATGACAGCAAGGACTTAAATTTCGTAGAAAAATATTGTAAATTACAAAAGTTATGACCATTGCAAAATTTACATCTTCCTCATTTTTTACACTCCCCTCAAATTTGCATGGTCTTAACTTTTGTAATTTACACAAAATTTAAAATCTGGCAATAAATTTAAATTTTGTTTAAGATAGTAAAGTTGAAAATTTTACTACATTAGTGCCCTCACGTTTGGGTAGGGGTAGGGGGGCAGGCGTTTCAGGGTTTTATTGTTCGCAGGCCTAAACCATTCCAAATTAAATCAAGGCCTCCTCATTTGGCATAGCTATGCACATACTTAAGTTTGCAGTTTGCACAATGTGTGAAAGTATCTTATCTAAATCATCAAAAAATTCTGCGGACGCCCTTGGCTTTGGCATTAAAAATAATTAGGTTTGAGGACCGCACGCAGAATTTTTTAATGTTTCAGATATAAAACTTTCCGAACTAGTTAGAGCTCTAAACTTATTCATGTTCATTCATTTGTCAGATAAGAATGTTTTAAAAGATGTTGCAGTGATTGAAACCTGGAAACAAAAATACGCCAAAAAGTTTGGAATAGGGTTCGGAATAGTTGTAATATTCACTAAGCTTAGATCTCCGTTTTGTAAGTTACCACCTAACAAACTAATATAGAAATTAAAATTGATGAGTTGGATTAGAAACTAATGTAGAATTAGAAAGTGATGAGTTGGATTAGAAATTGATGAATTAGATCCAACGATTAGTTATGTTTACTCTAAAGCTTAGCAGTCGTGGAGCAGTGGTTATATTTCTGGCTCAGAAACCAGAGGTTCGAGGATCAACCCCGATTCTATCCCAACAAGCGACATACTTGTGCGGAACCTACTTATGGTGAAATTTCTTGATGAACCTACTGATGGTGAAACAATTTGTAGAAGAAAAAAATTCGATAAGTGTTTTTACTAATTTATTATTGCTATGTTCTTTAAGAACATTGAGCATTCTATTTCTAGAATACGCGAACATAATTTATATATATAGATATATACAGGCGATTTTAGGGGTGTGTGCGTGTGTGCGTGTGTGTTTGTGTGTGTGTGTGTGTGTGTGTGTGTGTGTGTGTGTGTGTGTGTGTGTGTGTGTGTGTGTGTGTGTGTGTGAGTATAAAGACAATAAATACTAACATACCTCTTCCATTTCAATACAACTTTTTTTTAAATTGCTAAGAAATCTATCTCGAAAACCAATCAGTTTTGCTTCATTCACCGCATTCTTTTCCTCAATATATACCAAAACAAAGTCTAAAATATAAATAAAACTATATCTAAATAAAAATTCATAATCTGATGCTATTAAACATAAAACACTGTTAGGATATGTCAAATTTTAATGTTACCTATTTTTCTTTTACCATCGCGAAAATAAGTCCCTCTTTCTCCGCTCATGTCTTCATCGTAGACTTCCTGAATATTAAAATAACTCTAATAATGTTATATAACATCAAAGAAGTAAAAGAAAATTACTATTATGGCCAAAGAGATCTTAACACTTAATATTTATAGCGAAAAACGTATCGAGTATTTAAGTGTGAATTTAGTGGCTAACATTGTGTGCTGCAAACTGCTTAATTTACGTTTCATTAGAGAACCTGAGATATTGTTACATTTTTACAGCTTAACTTTTTTCTTTTTTTTTTTTTTTTTTTTGCAAAGTTTGAGGGTATCACAAATGTTTTTTTTGAAAATGACGTGACTTTTATCCAAAATTAAAGTCCTTCAAAAGCTTTGTAAAACGCCTTCGAGCGGGCACTAACATTCACACTATGAGATTAAGTTAATTAAGATTTTGTGACCTTGAAATCTGTATGTCCTTTACAGCCAAACAGCGTACTATATTGCTGGTAAGGTAGATCTTGGTCTTCCACAAGATTATCCTGCATTGATGCCATGTTGTAGTCATAATCTATTGTAATGTTTGAATTACAAATAACTGTAATGTATATTAAGCATTTATGTTTTCCTATTGATTGATATTTATACAGTTACCAAAGCAACGCGAAATTGTTAAGTATCCTAGCTAACGCAAAACGTTCAACGAACGTTGCGAACGTTCGAGTACGTTCTATGATCATTCATAGAACGTTCTTGAACGTTTGCAACGTTCGTTGAACGTTTTGTGTTAGCTGGGATGTTGCTAGTAAGCGTATTAAGCATTTTTAAGTAATTGTCAATAACAAATATGAGTGGTCAAATTTTTTGGCCATAATTTTATATGCAATTAAATTAGTTAACCCATTCCCCAGTAAAAATAATTTTATCAAGAAAAACCTCATAATTCTTGTTTTCATTGAGTGCAACATTTTCATCAAGCTTCTACAAAAAAACAATCATATATAAAAGATTTATTATATTATATTCATAAATATAAATTATTTAAAAATCATTAAATCCAAATAAAATAAAAAAATATGATTTCATAAACCTGACAGAGGACCCCATAAAAGATTCATATTGGAATAATGGAAGCAAGAATAAAAAATCTTTTATGAAACAAACTTTCATAATGTTTTTGTAAATAAAACTGATTTTGTTTGTCATTCTTTTTTTTTTTTTTTCCTGGTTTTTAAAGTACTCCAAAAATCGTTATGGACACTACTGCGCCACGGCTGCTTAAATTAAGAATGCTTACGGAAGAAATTTGTTTAATTTGAAATAAAATACTTGCATTATTTGTTTAAAATGATAAAAAAAGAAGAATCTACCTTTAGAGTATATGTGTTACAAGATTGCTTACTTCAGAACACTCATAAGCACTAATCATGCATTTACAAAACAGCGCTCATCAATTTGACAATTTTCTATACCCATTCTACATCTTGTAAAATAAAAGAGACTATAAAAAAATTGTATTTTGAAATCCAGGAATATTTTTTCATTTACACTCATTCTATATGAGTATTTTGCAGAGGTATCATCATAAAATCATCTTTTTTGTATAAAAATGAACTCAAAATTTGTTAACAGTTAAAAAAAAAATTGTTAACATACCTATTATTAAACCATTTGACAGCGCAAAGATAAACATTATCAACAGTAGTAACCCTAGCGGCAGTGGAATCTACTCCTTGTTTTTTTAATGCATCATTAGTGAGTACCTTAATATTTTGTAGCCTATTTATATGTACTGTACAAACAGCACTGTGTAGCAAATGTTAAAAACAGTTATGCCGTTTGTGTAATTTTGTACATGAACTAACAAGTACATCACAACAATTCCAGATTCTTTCAAATCTGGCTATTCTTTATAAACATCAGTCGAATTTATCCGTTCACTTTAAAAGTGTAATGCTCTGTAAAGTACAATTTTCTGGAAATTGCATGTTGTTAGATGAATGAAAAAAAAATTTATTTATTTGAAACGGGAAACTTTTTCTTTTTCAAAGAACAAATCATTGTTCTAATACAATTTTAAGATAATGCGATTGATACATTTTAACCAATAGCTGCAAAGCCAATTGTGAAAAAGCATCAAACGCAACGCAATGAATCATTAGATAGTATAACTGGAACAAACAAAAACGTAGTACTTAGGTTTGCTACTTTTTAAAAACATATACCAAGACTATTGTACCACTTTACAAGTTTACTATACCACTATGTACTGCCATATTTAATGTGCCACTAAACTGTCGAGTATATGCAGTACATAGCCGATTTTTACGTTGCAAAATTATAAAAAACAACTCTAAAAGTATTACAGGAAACAGCTTATTTTTTGTTTCTTTTGATCGAATTAATCAACATGATTTTTATAAAAAAATAAAATAAAAAACTAAATACTACTAGCTGACATTTGCCTTTTTTTATTTCAGACCCTGTTGCTTATATCTTTTTAACGCAGAGTTATGGCAACCGTGGCCTAAAACCTCTAGTAACTATAACCTTCTGAATATTGAACTCCACTGGTTTCATTAAGCTGTCTTACTTATAGAAAGACTGATCAGCGAACAAAAAAGGTTGTTTCAGTATTTCTGTACATAAATGAACGGAATAAATTGGAAACAAAAAAAATTGCAGACACATAAATAGAATACACGTAAATATGCGACAAAGGGATATTGTCAAGGGGATATAGGCGCGTGTTTTGTATTTTCTTTCATCTTCCAAGGAATGGATTTAAAATATTTTAATGAAAAAAAAAAAAAACGTAAGGGGCCCTGCGTGGATTTACAAATCTTACTCATATTATTCACATTTTTCAATTTTTTTGAAACTGAAAATCTACAATACTGCCGGCATTTTGTTCTAAAAAGACATGCTCAAAAGACGTCTTTTTAGGATCAAACGCCGGCTGAAAATATCCTCAAAATTTGATTCATTTTTTAGCAATAAAGTTTACGCTTTTTAAATTCAGTTAAAACTTTAACAGAATAATCTTGAAAAAGTTTGAATAAGAATATCAAACTTTTAATTTGTTTTAAAAAGTTTATATTTTATAAAGTTTGAATTTAAAAGTAAATATTTTATTAAAAAATTAATTAAAAAAAAAAGAATTGTTAAATACGTGTTAAAAGATAATCTAAATTCAAAGTTAAAAGATTTTTGAAGTTTTAATTTATTTGTAGCTTGATCAAAAATCTTTTAATTTTTTTAAATGTTGTTCATTGCTTAAATTCAAAGCCCTGGTACAATAAGCTTTTTTTTTAATTGTATCTAGGGTCACAAGCTTATGTACCTAGGGCCGCTCTCTGAAAATTATGTTTAACTCTATAATATATTGACAACAAAAATAGACATAAATTTAATTAAAATTTTATTTAATCTTAGATTGTTTTCAGCAAATTTATTTAGTGTTGCTTAATTTCAACTCTTAAATAAATAAAAATATTGAATAACAGTTCTGAGCAAAATTGACAAATCTACGTGTACAATGGTAGCCCCAATACAACCGCGAGAAAAAAAAAATTCTGCACAAATCAGGTCTTATAGCAGAGAACCGCTAAGATTTGAAACTAAACTTTCTTAATATTAAGCTTAATTAAAATGTTTACGATGGTAGGGGTGCTTCTAATAAACTAATGATTAAGTTTTTCATAGAAAGTTATAAAAAGGTGATTCCAAAGAAAATATGTTAATTAGATCTTGTTGCAGAGAACTATTAGGTCAAGCAGCAATTAGGCGCCCTTATAAGCATGCATATTTTATAATCAAAAGCATGTTTAATTATACAAGTTAAGTTTTGTTTTTATCTGTTTTTTATTACTTATACTTTTACTTTACATCCATATTTTCATGAGCCGCATCTGGGTTAAGTAACACTTATGCAACGCATTTAACATTCAATAATAACGATTATCAAACCAATTATTTAACCAAAAAAACAAAACTTTTAATTGCTTTTTTACTAACAAAAATAATTATTATCATGTCATCTTACAGCAGAGTTGTATTTAGCTCATTTTTATCATGTATCTCTCTTGTTCTATAGCTACCCTATATATTTTTTTTAAAGCAGTTTTAGTTTACTCAATGATCGTTTACATTTTGCGTTAAAAATTTTAAATTAGAATGCATATAAAATAGGAAATAGGCTGAGTATGTTTAGTTGAAAAAACCTAAAGTGGTTTCAGAAGTGAAAAATGAAGGTTTAAACTAATATGATGCAAAAATTTTTTCCATAAAGTTGTCTTTATTTTCACAAACTTTAACTTTTACCGTTACTGATTGTTCAATCAGATGAGTGAGAATCTTAAAGAAACAGTTTTTACAATCCTATTATTAAATTGAGTTTGTAAACTAAAATGACAATAATATTTACTTTAAGCTTTTGTTTGGGGAACTTATAGAAAAAAACTGCACTTTGAGGCTCATCGCAATTTCACTATCATCATTTGATATACCCAAAATTCTGTTTCATAGATTCGTAAAACATGAATTTCTATCTAGCGTTATCAATTGCAACTGAAAACAAAAATATCAAAAACAATAAAACTTGTTCATAAAAAGTTTAATATTGATTAAGGAAAGTAACAACAGGCTTTCATATCTTTATAATTGACATTGTTGCAGCCGAATTAACATCATAAACATACTTTTTTTTAAAGTTTATCGTAGGTGCACAAATTACATCGTGCGCAAGTTTATTTCAACGATTTTTAACACAGTTTTTAACCACTTTTTTATTTGTTACATAAGAGTAATTTTGATATTACCTGTATCACCTTTTTTTATTTCTTATTTATAAATTCAAATAAATCAGAAAATAAATAGTAAATAACCTTTGATTAGTTGGGGTTTTTAACAGGTCATTTTTTCTTAAATTATGTGCTGAGTTTGATAAGAAAAGCTGTTGTTGTAAAATATAAAATTCAACCTATTGTAAATGACAAGCAATTCGTATAGCAGTATAAGGTCTTTGCGTTCTTTGAGTGTATTTAAGCCAAGTATTTTTAGTTTTTGATTATAACTAAAATGTTTAATTAAAGATATTGCGTGTTGTTAGACACATTTGAGTTTAGCAATTTCAGAGATGATTAGGCATGAGCACAAATCTCTAGATGCAGTATTAAATGTACAGTTGATACAGTTTTTTCCATAGCTAGAGAGCTTTGACATCAAAATGACTACTTGAGACAGATAAGCATTAAATTACTAACCAAAGTTTCTGCTTCTATTTGTACTTTGACTTTGTGTTTATTTGATATTAGTGCTCCAAGATCTTGCTTAATGCACGCCTTGCTAAATGCACGCCATGCTTAAAACACAGACATCAAAATAACTCTACGTCAAAATAAACTTTTCATTAAAAGTGTTTTTACGGAACCGAACTCGATCTAAACTTCATTGGAAAAACCTTGGAAGCACATAGATTCTAATAACGCTAATTTTTTGAAATTTATGATGTTAATTTTCCTAAACATAAAATACTAAAAAAAAAATAATGATTCCACGTCACCATGAATTACAAAAGATCTCAGAAAACGTTTTAAAGTTAAGCAAAATTTGTATATAAAGTATTTAAAAAACGAGAACATTAGAAAGTTGTATATAAAGTATTTAAAAAACGAGAACATTAGAAAGTAAGACAACTTATAAGAATAACACTAAAAAGTTTGAAATAAAAAAAAAAAATAAAAAAAAAAAAATACTATATAAATTTACTAGAAAAGACTTTATAGCAAACAATGCAAATTTTAAGTGAAATTAGAGGCATTAAGAAGTTGAAAGCTAGCTCTTTAACTAAAGTTATTAAAATTTATGATAAAGTATTTTATCATCCAAGAGTAGTAGCAAATAAATTAGGACGACTGAAAAAGCGCGAATTTCATAAGTGCGAACTGGCATAAGTGCAAGTGGCGTAAGTGCGAACCGGC